GATGAGGAGTCAATTAGATTGCACATGCTCAGCACAGCTTCAAGCAACAGAAATGATAAATGGATTGTAGTTCAGTTTGTGAGTATTTCTTCACCTATTCGTGTGCTGGCAGTGGTTGGGGTGGGGGGAGCAGTGTGTGGAGAGCAAGGTTTGAATGAGACACGGACCCTTCCTGGGGATTGGAGCCACATTTAGGGGTTGCCTGGCAGGGACTAGGTTTACAGTGTGAACCCCTTGGTCCATGTTGGAAACATTGGAATGCCTGATTCTACTTAGCACTGTTCTCAGGCCTTATGAGAGGACCCCTCAGAGCAGTCCTTCAACCCTCCTGGAGGCCCCCTGGTATGGATAAGGCAATGGTTTGGAGGTAGAGCCCTGGTAAGGATTTAGGAGGCCAGGGTTGGAGGCCCAGCTCTGGCACTAATAAGCTGTGTGACATGGAATAAATCACTTGCCCTCTCTGGGCTATGTCTGGTGTCCTCATCTATAAAATGGGTCATTCGTCCCTGAATTACCAACTCACAGACTGGTTGGAGGATCAGATAATGATTCAGATGCAAGAATGCTTTGGAAAGCATTAGCTGTCTGATGAATAAATCTATTAAAACTGAAAGGACTATGGGAAATCCCTGTAACCTTCTGTTCAATTTTGCTGTGAACCCAAAACTGCTCTAAAAAAGTCTATTTAAAAAAAAAACCCGGGCGCCTGGGTGGCTCAGTTGGTTAAGCGACTGCCTTCGGCTCAGGTCATGATCCTGGAGTCCTGGGATCGAGTCCCATATCGGGCTCCTTGCTCAGCAGGGGGTCTGCTTCTCCCTCTGACCCCCCCCCCTCTCATGTGCTCTCTCTCTCTCATTCTCTCTCTCAAATAAATAAATAAAATCTTTAAAAAAAAAAAAAAACCCTGGATTCTCTAGCAAAAACCCTCCAAAGCTTTTAAATTAAGCAATATAATACGAGTTCAAATCCTAGATTGCAACGTGCATGATTCTGGGCAAATGAGTTAATCTCTGGCACTGCCAGAGGCTTGGTTTTTTCTTCTGCAGGAGACAGGAGCCCCGAGGCAAGAGAAAGGCAGGGAAGAAGCTGTCAGATACAAGACAGATGAGATAAAGAGATGAAGCCTACCAGCCTCCAAAACCCCTGGGCAACACATGGAGGAGGGTTCCCCACCTGACTGCAAGCTGAGGTGGGGGTTACCTGTTCCTTTTGCATCCCCTGCACCCCTTTGGATCTCAGCTCCACCCCAGGTAGATGGTGACTCAGGTTCTGCAGAGACTGGTCCCTCTGCCCCTGTTGCCATGGCGCTGCAGCACAGCCTGGCCAATCAGGGAAGAGACGGGTATCTGAGCCTCTGTTGCTAAAGCTGGAGCAGGACGCCTGGCCAATGGGAAGAGCAGCAGAGTGGGGCCACCATGGAAACCTCAGCCCCAAGGTTCCAACTGCATTTTGTCTCCATGCCTCATTTGCAGGGGCGGCGGGGGGGGCGTTGTTAGGCTGGGTTTTCTGTTTTCCTTTTTGGCAAAGAGCATCTCGTAGCCCCGGGAGGACATTCAGGAGTCACAATAGGGGTGCATGACAAGACGCATCTTCAAAGAGTCAGAAAGGACGCCAAGCTTAGCACAGCACGGCTTCGGATGTTCCCTTCGTTATGCTTTCCCCACACACTCAGTATCACTTGCGTCTTTGATCTTAGCCCATCCCCCTGGATCTACCTAGCCCCATCTGTCCTAAGAAATGGCTGTAGACTGCAGAAAAAAAAACCCACCCCCCAAGTAAGAAAAGGAACACAGGGTTTACCCCCAAAAGGATGCTCTTCTGTCCTGTAGCTTTGTGGCTTGGCACAAACTGCCCCACCTCTTCCTCCAGGTGCAGGGTGTGAAGGAGGATCGAGACCAAGGTCAGACACAGGTGCTGCCCCTCTCTGTCAAATTTGAAGATTGGGCAAATGGGCTCTGTGATTCCTTTCAGATCTCACATTCTAGACTTAATGCTCTTCAGGCTCTGAAAAAGCAGATCTACAAGGAATAACTTTCCAAGGGGGGGGGCCTGTAAATGGTGCCAATGGACACAAATAAGACTCAGGCTGCTTTGTGCCCTTAAAATGCCAGACTAGCAAGGCCATCGGTGGTAGAGCCGAGGCCCGGAGGGGTGCAGCTGCCCCCTCAAGGTCACACGGCTAGCTAGATGCAGAGCCAAGGCTAGAAGCCCTAACTCCCAGGTCCAGCTCTTTAGCTTGTAATGTGCAACCTCGTTAAACCAGCCTTCTCACCCCCATGCAGGCAACCAGGGAGCTATGCATGCCCATGCTGCCACACCCCTTATATTGCAAACATGGGCATAATAACTTCAAGGAAAAGTGTGTCCAACCTGTGCCCCACTCTCTCCAGTCCTTCACTCTGTTGCCTGGCAACAGTTCTATCCAGAAGCCTAGGTGTCATCCTAGAGACCACTCCTTCACCCTCATCCTTCCCACCAAACCTACTGCCTGATCATTTCATCTCCTAAATGGCCTTTGAGTCGCCCACTACTCCCCTCCCCCCCCCCACTGCTTTCCCCGGCTGAGGTTCCATCATGAATTTCCTGGACGGCTGTTGGCTTCTCACAGGCTTCCTGCTTTTGCACTTGCTCATCCCATCCCCCACTTTCATTTTCTGTAACCACAGCCAGACAGTGTTTTAAAAATACAAATCTGCTCATGTTACCTGAGGCTTGCTTAGAGCCTTTAAGCATAGTAATCAAAATCCTTAACATGCCCCGGAGGCCTTCATTGTCAGGCTGACAACCCCAACTTCATCTTGCCCTTCCATGTGCTCTGCTCTAGCTGCCTGGAACATTCTCACCCCTACCACACCCTCAATTCTTCTAGTTACTCCTCCTCACCCTTTGGCTGTCTGTTCAACGGTCACTTTCTTGGGGAGCCTTTCTTGACCTCCCTGAATCGGTCACATTGCCCTGTTACAGGCCCTCCTGGCACCATGCACGCCTTTCATCTGTACCATATTATCACAGTTGCCGTTTTACACTTGTCCATGTAATTATTTGATTCATATCTGTTAGCCCTGCCCCACTTGTCATAAGCTTCAAAAAGGCAGTGACTTTTTCTTGTTCTATGCCTTAAACATATGGATGAGTGGATGGATGGATGAACAGGTGTATATATGGATGGATGAATGGATGGATGGATGATGGATGGGAGTATGGATGAATGAGTGTAGAATGGATGGATGGATAGGTGAGTGGGTCTACGTATTACTGGATGATAGGTGGGTGTATAGATGGGTGGGCGTATGGACATATGGATGGATGGATACTCTCATTTTCCCCAATTTACTTAGAACTAATCATATCTCCCTCTATTCTGTGGCTAGCCTTTCTTCCCCTTATTCATCAACATACACCAAGCATGTCTGATGTGCCAGGAATGTGCCCACAGTGTTGTCACAGCCCAAGAAAAGAGGGATCATCATGCCCTTGCAGCTTATTTTTTATGTGTTTTTTTATTTTTTGAGAGAGAGAGAGAGAGTGTGTGTGTGTGTGTGTGTGTGTGTGCAAGGAGGGAGAGGGGCAGAGGGAGAGAGAGAACCTCAAGCAGGTTTCACAGCCAGCACGGAGCCCAACATAGGGCTCAATCTCACAACCCCTAGATCATGACCTGAGCCGAAGGCAGATGCTTAACGACTGAGCCACCCAGGTGCCCCAAGGATCTGCACTTAGTTTCAAATTCTACCCTGCTAGTTACCAGCTGAGTACCTTTGGGCAAGTCCCTAAAACAGGACTAACCACACCTATTTCTTTGGGTTGGGGATCGGCAAGAGCACGTATATTCCTCACCTGCACGGTGGCGACACATGGGAGGCACCAGCCATCATGACCATAGAACGAATAATTCCTTGCTGTGTCCCACCCTGAGCCAGGGGTAACAACTGTTCCTCCTGCAGGACTGGATTTCCAAAGCAATGCCAGAACCCGCCACCAGAGCTGAGTGAATAGGTGACCCAGAAAAGGCACGTCCTGTTTTTTTTTTCCCTCGGGTACTCTGGGACACTCTGAGGTCCCTGAGAAGTCTGGACACCAAGGGACATACGACAGAGGAGATGTGGTATTATTCTGGAGAGATGGCTTTCACCCTGTTGGCATGGTTACCATCTTGAGCAAGAGGGGCCACCTGCCCACATATTAGTGTCACCCGCATAGGATTGTAGGGTTTTTCCCCACCAAATGAGGCCTCTTGCTGCCCAGGTAACCTTGCTGATCCTAAACCAGTGATAACACCACCACCAACAGCATCAGCGGTAGCTGCCCAAGGGTCGACATTTTCCCCCCTTATATTATCTCACCAAATTCTTATAACTCGTGGAAGGAGGTTGTTATCCCCATTATATGGATGAGGAAAATGAGACCTAGAAAGATCACCTGCAGCCTCCCACTCACACCCACATTCTGCCACTTGCTGTGGCCTCGGGGTCCTTTTGCTGATACCAAATTGCACCCCACCCCTTCCCGCCCGCCGCTCTGTGTCTGAGACCAGCCTGAGCCCACAGACCTCAGGACCATCCAGAGCCCTTCACCACTCTGTCAAAGCCCACTTTGGGAGCAATTGGCTCCCCAAGGCAGTTTTTGGTATTACGAAGTGTGAAAATGTCCTGGTAGCTACAGTCTGTGAGCTGGTGGAGCTCAGAGCCCATTCTCAGCACCCGCCCCCCGCAAGCTGGTTCAGAGGAGTTCAGCTCTGAAGAAGGACGGCAAAGCTGTCCCCCATGGAACCACAGTGAGAATAAGGGCAAAAAAAAAAAAAAAAAGGCTTTTTTTGCTTCAGTTCTGCAGATGGTCGAGGAGCTTGTGTTTCTTCACCAGAATTTTCTAGATCCTTTGACTGGAACCATCTGGGTAATTGTCTCAAGCTTCTGTGTGATTCCCACTGAGGTGGAACCAGGTGGGAGGGGCTGTGTGGCACGTGTGGTGCTGTGACTTCCCCTCTCTGAGCCTTGGACTTCTTGTCTGTGAAATGGGAGTCCGCACTGACAGGATGGTAGAGTTCGTTCTTTCTTCCAGCCCTGAAGGTCTAGGGTATTTCACTGTTGGAGGTTCAGCAAACAACGGCATGGCAACTCGAGAGGATGAAACGGGGCTGCTTCAAATGTCCAGTGTTTGGACCCCGAGTCGAAACGAGTGGAGGAGGGTAACAGGGACCTACTCCATAGCAGGCCGGGCGCTGGGGGGGGGCAGTGCACGCCACTCAGTTAAGGTAAGGTCAGTATTGTCGTTCCAATTTTACAGATGAGGAAACTGAGGCCCAGGGAGGTTAAGTGTCTCGCTCAAGTGCAGCGCAGACAGCAGGGGTCAGGAGCCTGCATCCAGACCCACTCCACCTTCATTCTTCCCACTGCAGCCCCTGATCTCCTGAGAGCCTTTTGGTTGTTGAGCTGTGAGCATAACCGTCCTCCACTGCTGCTTAAACCACACCCCGGGAAGTAAGCAAGGGGATCACTGAGTTTCCACAGAGGTTTCCTGCCAGGCAACTGTGCTAAAAAAAACCCATCTTTTCCTACCTAGTATGTTAGTAGGAGGTGAGCAGATTGCAACAGGCTTCTGTCTTCTTCCAGACAACAGTGGCAGGCTGGTCCCCACTCAGGAAACAACAGAGGGACCCGGGAGGACCAAAGCCATAGGAGACGGCTGACCCCAGGGGCCTGGCCTCTGCACACACGGGAGACACAGACCCACGGCAGACCCACTGGAGTCATAGATAGGACCCTTTCCCGCTTAAAAGATATAGGCTCCTCCCTCCTGGCCTTTCATCACGTGCCCCTGGGCCGCCTTTCCAAGCTCATCACCTACTCCCTGAGCATCCTAGGTTCACCACGTTCCCAGCCTCCATCCACAAGTTTCTACCAACTAGAATGTCCTTTCCCATCCTGCTGCCTCTTCCTCTGCTTCGAAGTCCTTTAATGGCCAGCAGAGACCTCACCTCCTCAAGGGAGCCTTCCAGGTTCTCCATCTCCTGATGGAGAACTCTCCCCTCTGCCCACTCCCCCAGGGACTCTGGCATCCACCACGTGCATAGAGTTATTTTGGTAAAGCTGATGTGTGCTGGCCAGCTGTTAAGCACCGAGCATGATGCTATGCAATTTCACATAGGATCTCATTTAATCTTCACAACAACGATGAGGTGGGGATTCCTCTTATACCCACTCAAACGGATGGGGAAACTGAAGCTCACTTACCCACGGTCATGGAGCTAGTGGGGGCAGTCAGAATGTGCACCCAGGTCTGTCTGTCTTTCTTTCTTTCTTTTAAAGATTTTATTTATTTATTTGACAGAGAGAGAGACAGTGAGAGAGGGAACACAGGCAGGGGGAGTGGCAGAGGGAGAAGCAGGCTTCC